GCAACACAGATGTTGGGAGTAGCTCTGGGATTTGGTTAAGAAAGAGCATGATTTTTTAAACCCTGAAATACTTTACAATCCTTGGAGGAAGACTGATTAAATTGGAATAGGAAAAGTAACTTGAGATAGAGACCTGCAAAGCAGTTAAAAGCTAGACATAGGATACTCGGTAAGGGGAGAGGATGAGCTGGGAAAAGCAAGGATAAGAGCCCTGAGGTGAAGAGTTACTGAACCAAAAGCAAAATTCAGAGTGTTACCAGAGGCAGTATGGTGTAGGAGAAAGAGCTCTTGGATCTAGGTTTAAATCCTAGCTTTAAATTCCATGATTATAAAATCAGAATAAAATATCAATCATGGAAAGGCCTCACAGTTAATGACAAATACATGAATCAAAATTCATTATTGTCTATTGTTACCTAACCAAGGAAATAGGGCAATAGAGGAAAACTTTTTTTTAACATATAGAATTTATTATGTACTTTAAAAAACTTTTTGATTAATATTTTATTCCCCCCAATTACATGTAAAAACAATTTTTAACATTCATTAAAAAAATTTGAGTTCCAAATTCTTTCCTTCCCTTCCTTCATTCTCTCTCCTCCCCCCTCATAGAGAAGGCAAGCAATTTGATATAGGTTATACATGTGCAGTCATGCAAAACATATTTCCATATCAGTCATGTTGTTAAAGAAAACACAGACCAAAAAAAAAAAACCCACAAAAAAACTCAACAACAAGAAAAACCAAGAAAGTAAAAAAAAAAGGTATGCTTTGATCTGCATTCAGATTCCGTCAGTTCTTTCTCTAGGAGGCTCCATGTTGCCTTGAGGCTTGATGCAATCAGTACAATGTCATCTGCAAACAGGAGCATCTGGAAGACCTAACCATCCACAAGAAATCCTTCCTCCAGCATGGATTCTGCACTGGAGCACCTCCATCATAATGGTGAATACCTTTGGTAAGCATACATCTTCTTGTTTTGTGCCTCACCTCATGTTTATTATCAGAGGGTCATTGAATAGAGGTTTTGTTTGTTTTAACTTCCAAGGAATCTCGAATGATCTTTATATATGGCTGTACAAGGAGAGTCTAAGAGGTAGGAAAGAACCTCCAGGGCAGTGTTTAGTTCTTCTCAATTAAATATGTGGTTTTTCTTGGTGAGGCAATCGAGATTAAATGACTTGCCCAAGGTCACACAGCTAGTAAGTGTTACGTGTCTGAGGCTGGATTTGAACTCAAGTCCTCCTGACTCCAGGGCTGGTGCTCTACCCACTGTGCCACCTAGCTGCCCCAAATGTATTTCTTTTAAAACTTAAATGTGGTATCTTGTTTTGTACATCTTTCAATTAATTGTCAGTTGGTAAAGATGTGGTCCATTATTAAATGTCACATGTAAAAGCCTGCTTATTCCCTAATATATCATTGAGAATGCCCTTGATTTGTGTATAATGTCACAGTTTTCAATATTAATAAGATCTGAGATTTTTTTTCCAGCCCTTTGTAATCTTCCCCTCCTTATATATACTCTCAATTCTCTTACAACTTTATCTCCTCCAGCATGGATCTCCTCCATATATACTTGGAATAATCTAGCTGATTTTTCTGTCTTTGTTCTCTTTAGTGCCATTTCTACCTCCTCTACAAGAACCTCAGAGACAACAATATCAGAACCACAAAGTGTAGTGGTTCTACTATCTTTGATGGGGAAAACAATTGAAATAATTTTTGGAAGTTTTTTTCTTTTTTTGCAGTCCTCCTTCCATTTTCATCTTTGAATGTCCTTGGTATGCCTTTGCTTAGTTGGATATCTTGTGAATCTTTCTTTTTTTTTTTTTTTTAAGGCAATTGGGGTTAAGTGACTTGCCCAGGTCACACAGCTGGTAAGCGTCTGAGACCAGGTTTGAATTCAGGTCCTCCTGACTCCAGGGCTGGTTCTCTATCCACTGCGCCACCTAGCTGCCCCTGAATCTTTCTTTAAACCTGTTTTGCCCTTCTCTCCTTGTCTCTGCTTTAAAATGATACTGCTCATAATTATTTATTATTCTTCTTTGTAAGATTTTACATATGAATTTATTTTTTTTAACTCAGTGTTGCCTTTGGCAGCCCATCTCTCCATTTGCCAGGTAAGTCATATCATAAGATCACTTTGTTAGTTGACTAAGTTGCTTTCTAGATTCTTGTGGTCTCCTTATTTTGAAAATTAATTTGTATTTGCTGAAGTTCTAGTTGAAATGATAATAATTGCTTTTAATGTCATTTGATTATATATTTCCCATCTTTTAAATTTTCAACAACTTTCATTTCAACAATAATTTTCATTGTTCACCATATGTTTTTCATTATTATTTCTTCTTTTTGTGGCAAATCATGATCTTAGTTCAGATTGCACACAGACAGCTAACTCAGGGATGACTCCAACACTTGCATGTTAAAATGTAATTAATTTATCTTTTTGTGTGTGCGTGCATGATTTTATTCAGTGCTTGCCATGTCTAGTAACTACCAATTTTTTTTTTTTTATCAAAGAAAGTGGTCATGTTAAGAGGCATGAGGCTTCAGTATAATCTTTGGTCACTCTCATTTCTTTCTCCTGAACCATACTTTCTCACAACATTTATGTCTGTCTATTACGCATATATGTACGTTTATATACATTCTCTCTGTCTCTCTCTGTCTCTCTCTCCCCATATACATATTTCCTCATCCTCACTCCCCCCCCCCGTACTGAGGTTATGAAGCATCAGAATTGTGTTGATTTTATTTGGAAGATCGTATCTTATAGATGTGTCATAGTAACAAACAAGTGGGGGTAAGGGTAGGTAGAAGAGGTGGTGATGAGGTAGATAGGGAGAAAATATGTCCTGAGCAGTGTACTTTCTTGGGAAGGTGGCTGTTGCTAGCTTGGGGGAAATAACAACTGCTATATTCTTCATTGAATTTCTCTACAACTTCTCAGCAACTGATGCTAGTGTACAAGCTGCGATCATTTTCATGATAATATTTTTCCAAATACTTTTCATTAGTACTGTCTGGTGTGTGGTAGGTATTTAATAAATGCTTGTTGGAGTAAGAGTGAAAGACATTAAAGCCAACTTTCCAATTTCGCTGAGGTAGGCATGAATCAGCCAGCTACTCTTTCCTCATAAGTCTGGCATTTATATCTAATAATTAGGCTGCTCTAGATCAAGCTTCACTGAAAGATCCTGGTGGAGAGCACATTTGTCTGGACATTAGGAGGACTGATGTCTGGTCTCAGCTCTGGCGCTGACTTTATATACACAAGCATGATCAAGTCACTTCCCCTCCCTCAGCTGCAGTTTCCTCATCTATAAAATTGTGTGAGTATGAATTAGATGATTTCTGAGGTCCCTTTCAGTTTTAACCTTTTATTAAATTCTTGCTGCAAGAGTAGTAGTGTGGTCTAGTGAACACAACAAGAAAACTTTTGTCATCTCAACCTAGAATTCATAGTTCAATATAATTGGGCCACACCCTGCCTCTCCAACTACTTTTTGGTCATGTAATCTGTCAAACCAAACAGCTCCCAAGTTCTCCATACTAGGACTACTCCAACCCACATACATCAAATCACTATGTACCCTGAATGCCTCTTGCCTGGTTATTCCAATCACTTCCTTGGACACTTATATCTTACTCAACTATATGATCCTTCCCCAGCTACATTTTAAGGTACTGTACGGCAGAGCTCATTTGTTACTTTTCTTCTGTCTCCTCCCAGTTTGCCTGATAAAAGGCTGGGCACTTGGTAGGTGCTCAGTTAAGACTTTTGCTGGAGGAATATCCTTATTTGTATTAAAAAAGCATGCCTCAGGACAAGAAAAGGAAACAGAGAAAAATCCTTGCTTTTCTTAGAAAAACAGTTCGTTTTCTCAAAGAGTGAGGTCTTCAATTATCCTACTCCTCTAGCCTAGGAAGGGAATAAATAGTAAGTTTTGTCACTGTTCAAACAACTTTAAGAGCCTTTTAAGAGTCTGCTGATTGAGTTCCTGAGATTGAATCAGGGGCATACACACACACACACATGTATATATATATATATATATACACACACACACACACATATACACACACATACACACACATGCACACATATATGCATATATGTATATATGTATATGTATGTATGTGTGTATATATGTATATATGTGTGTATATATGTATGTATGAATATGTGTGTGTGTATATATGTATGTATGTATATGTGTGTACACACACACACACACACACATATATTTTGTAATAACATGGTGCTCACATACAGGCAACCTATTCTGACCATTCAGTCTCCTTAGAAGAGTTGTGCACATATCTGACTGGAAGCAGTAGTCTTGATCCCCTCTCAAGAGATTCTTGGAAGTCAAACAGAGTGGAGAGATCATTCATGGTTCCCACAGTAAGTTCCCTCTTCAAACTGAAGCTTTAGGTGTGAGGATGGAGATCGACAAGGTGGTGGAAGAAGGAGGAGGAGAGAGAGCAAAAGAAGAGGGGGAGGAAGGGAGACAGGAGGAGAGCAGCTGTAGTTGACACAGCTCTATTTGAGTCTAAAAATCACCACAAGAACCTGGGACCAAAGAGACCCCAAACCATAGCAGTACTGCCTAAAGAAAGATGGATAAATAGAGCACTCATTTTATTTCCCCGAATGACCACCAAACGGTGGGTTGGATATCTTTGATTTGCTGTGAAGGAATTCCACTGAATGGTCATTTATCTCTGGCAAAAGACCACATCACTTTGTTATTGTTAAGTGCAGAATTATTTACTTCTTCCACGGAAAGACAGCATTCCGCCTTTTCTCCCTCATCCTCCCCCCTCCCCAATACCCACCTCCATCTCTACCATACTCCTCCATCTGATTGGATGTAAAGGCTCCTCTGACAGCGAAACCAGCCAGAAGAGCCCCTGTGCTTAACCCTTCCCTGCCTGCCACAAGAGACTGCTGCAGGTCCCAGCCCTCATCCACCACTCGATGTCTGTAGTCTACTGAAGCAGTGTCCGCCCCAGTTTAGCTGGATGTCAGAGGCAGGAGCTCCCGCCAGGGAAAAGAACTTAAAAGGCTTAAAGCTGGCTCTTGGAAGGGAAAAGTGGGCCAGGCAGGGAGGGCACTGGACAGGTTTTCCTGTTCATGGAGCTCTTTTTCAGCAATAAGTCTTTCTTTCCTCCACATCCCCTCGTTGGCTGCAGAGCTGCCTGGAATTCTGGGGGCTGCGGGGATGGCGAATCATTCAGGCAAGGACCTGGGGCTAGGAGCTGGCCGTTGTGCTGAACTGAAGGGCTCGCTAGGGGAAACGTCGTTGTCTGCGTCCTTTTGCCAGGCGGCCTGCCAGCCATTGCCCGGGCTACCCCAGAGCTGTAAGTAACCAGCTTCTCTATTTCTTTACTCCCCCACGCCCGGCGAGGCGCTGACACTAGCAGGCGTGCTGGAGGAGGCAATTATACCTGCCGAACAGCTGGACGGGTTTTGTTTAAGAATCAGCCCACAGCTAGGGAGAAGAAGCATTTAAATCCCCAGTGCTGTGCCTTCTGGCACTCTCCATTCCTTTTGGAATGACTTGTTTCATACCCTCATCCCCACTACCCTCCACCCACTTCCCACATCCCCGGCCCAATTTCTCAAACCTTTTTGTGTTACATGCATGTGTTACAGACTTGGAGAATGGTTAGCATTATTTCTTTGGTATGTCCAGTGTGGCCACAATAGTTTGTCAGTGGGGCCAGTAACCTAATGTGTGTGTGTGTGTGTGTGTGTGTGTGTGTGTGTATGTGTATGAAAATCATCAGAAACAGCTGTTTGGGAAATTGAATAAGGTAACCTTGGCCAGGCTGCTGTTTCCTAGTCCTCTAAACTCTCCTCATATCCTACAGGTTAGTAATTCAGGAAATACATTCTGTGAGGGAAGTCAGACATAGAGGATTCCTTTTAAAACAGATCCACACTCCTCAAATGAGTCCTTTGTCTCCATTCTGCTCATCTTGCTTTAAGAAATGGAACTGTGTCTCATTCTGCAGGCAGGGCTGGCCATCCTCCCAAGATTTGGGGGTGAGAGAAGGAGATTGATGGTTTAGAGGCTTTCTTGACATGCTGATATTTCTGTCCCTCCTCAAAACTGACCTTAGCTCCACCTGGTGTGTTTTGAAAGCCTATGAACAAGCTGGGGAGAATTGAAAGCTTTTGTCCTTAGTGTAGCCCCACTTTTGAAGGCAATGGGCTGTGTTTTCTGCTGACAAGTAGTCTCAAGTAATTCTTTCATTTTCTTCAGTTTTTTTCCTCATTTAATGTCATTCATAACTACCTGACATAAAGCATGAGCTAAAAAGATAAAACCTTCCTTGTTCAATGTGTCTGTGTCTGAAATAATTTCTGTTGAATTACCAATAGAAAAACTTGGTTATCTTGTGGTTTTACTTTAGAAAGGTATTCCTTAAAAGAGGGTTTTTTTTGTTTGTTTTTCATACCACTTGATTTGGGCCCACGTGAAACCAAAGCATTCAGTTAGTTGATCTGGTTATGATGTGATAGTGGTGGTGGAGAGGAACAACAAAAACTCTTTAAATGGTGGAAGTGAAGTTAAGTAGACAAAAAACCCCACTTAAAACAACTTGCCAGAATAATAGAATCTATACATTTATTAAGCAACCAGAAAATTTTGTGTGCAAAGCACTGGTCAGAGATGGGGTGGGATACAAAGACATAAATAACACATTTCCTATTCTTACAGAGTTTATAGTGTAGCTACATAAAACACATCACAGTGTTTTAATGTCATAAAGACATAATTAGGATGAGATAAATCTAAATTGTGTCCCTGGTTTCTACAAGTTTCACAATCCCAAATTTCGAGCAGGAATCTCAGGATCACTGACATCTGGCAAGCCCATCCTGAAATAATGATACTTCAGCTCAACTCATGAAGGATTTAAAGAGCTTCCATTGAGTGCTCAGCCCTGGGCTAGGCACTAGGAGGGATTCAGAAGATAGCTTCTGCCCTGAAGAAATTTATAATCTTGTCAGGGAAACAAGGCTTACATACATGGAATGGTTAACTAAATCAAACCAAACAAAACAAGGCAGTGTATGATAAATGTCAACATGTGCGGCACAGACAATAAGTGCTAAAGGAATTCGGAGAAGGAAGAAATAGATATATGGTTTATAGCTGAGGAGATCAGCTTCCCTATTTCATGCAGGGTTGTTTCTTGGATGTCTTTGTCCATGAGGGACATAGAGACTAATATCAGTAACTAAAAGATATGGGGATTTTTGGTGCCTCTGCTTAAAGACAGAAACAATGTGATGGTCATAGGAGAGATGATGGCATAGAACATGGATAAATTCTGCATTTTCCCTTGAGATTTCATCATGTATTGTGAAGTCTTCGTCATCTGGTATAGCCAGGCCGTAGGAGTTTCTGGGTAATCAAAGAGTTTGATTAATAGATTTACCACATATATCCTAAATGGATCTAATTTTCAAATAATTATAATATATTAAAGTCTATTAAATTCAAACTCAGCCAAACATAATCTAATCTTTAATTAAGACCTCTGAAAGTAGTTCAGGGCTTCAGGGTCAGCATCTTGAACATCAGTTATCATTCTGCTAGAGGTATGGGGGGAAAGTGCCTGATTAATTAGGAATTCCAGTTAACCAGTCATTAGAATGCCAGACAACCAAGAGTTTAACTTAATTTCCAATTACATCATAGAATAATATTGTTTTTGAGCTTGAAGGCACCCTGGATATCATAGAATGATAGGTTTTGGAGTATAAAGGACTTTGTGGCTATGTACTCAATTGTATAGACAATGAGACTAAAACCCAGAAGTGAAATGCCTCATGGAAGATCTGAAAGCAAGAGTTGGCACTAGAATTTAAGTTTCATAACTCTCAGGTGAGTTGCTCTAGATACTTCTGTTTACAGATGATATTGTGTTGATTACATCAAACCCCAAGATGCTAAAGAGCCTCCTGGAAGAGATCTGCAATCGCTCAAAGGAATTTGGCCTCTTTGTCCAATAGGACAGACCAACTAGATGAATACTATCTACTGCCCAGATTTGAACATGCATTTGAATGGACACCCTTTGGAGCTTGTCCAACATCCTACAGACCCCTGGTACTGTCATCTGACCTTCTGATGTAACTTAAAGATCCCTGGGCCTTATTGTCTGCCCTATAGCTTCACTTTTTAAAAAATGTGTTGTCTTTCCCAATTATAGTGTGTGAACTTCCTTAAGATCCAGGACTATACTGATGTCTCTATTCAGATCCCCAGTTCTTAGAATTCCCTAATGTTTGGCACATAAGTTTTTAATAAATGCTTTTTCACTCATTCATTGTGTGTATTTGGGACAGACAGTACAGTACAACACAGTATAATGTGTTTGGGCAAGACTTGAAAAGGAGAAGTATTGCTTTTGGGAAGTTGCAAAGCATTTTTACTGACTCCAAGTTTTTCATTACAACAAAGGGCCTTCTCTTCAATACAAACATTTTGCTAATGTTGTTGTATATCAGTGAGACCTGGAATAGACCTTTGAAGAACTGAAGATGAGCATCACACAGACGGAAACAGGAAGGAGAAGAATGGGTTTGAGCTGGCTGCAATATGTTACTAAAGATCTAAGAATAAGAACAAAGGACGTCATCAAGGAATTGTATGATAGAAAAAGAAGATGGATTGGTTATGTGGTGTGAGTGAGGGTTGACAAATATATAGCCAGAGTGCTTCACTGGTACCTTTGTGATGTCAGGAGAAAGTAAGAAAGGCCTTTAACATATCGGGTGAATCACCATGAGTTGTTCACTTGGGAGGACACTTATGAAAATCACACAGGATGGGAGGGCATGGATGAGTTGCTATCTGCATCATTGGGGGGAACTCCAAATTGATGAGATCACAAATTCATTTGAATATTTTGGTAACTTTCAGGCTGGTGCTTTTTTTTTTACATCATATTTCTAACAGTCTAATCCATTTACCACAAAAAAGAAATGAATCCTCCTGACATCCATGTGAGGTAGACAGTGAATAATCATAAGTAGCACTCTCCTCTTTTTACATATGTATAAACTGAGGCCAAATAAATTGTTCATAGTGACAGAATGTTCATTGGGAGAGGCCTGCCTTAGTACCAAGCTCTCCTGCCCCCCAATGCTCACTTTCTCATGTTTGGAAGAGGAGGTCAGGGAGAAGTGAATAAGTTTACTCGATAGCGATAGTGAGGAGACAGCTCTTGCTGTGCCCAAAGAACAACCCAGGGTTTAAAACTCAGGCAGGTTTTAGAAGACCTCCTCCTACAGTAGTTAGATTTCTCAGCTCAGAGGCACAATGTTGCTTTCCTATAACACTCTAGATTTTATGTTCCATTGATAGGAGACTAACAACAATAATAAAAGAATAAAAAATGTCTGACATTTGTATAGTGCTTTAAGGTTTGCAAAACATTTATATACATTATCTCATTTGATATTCAGGCAACTCTGTAAGGTAGGTGCATGTATTATTATTTCAATATCTCCATTGTATAGATGAGGAAATTTAAGTACAGAAAAATAGGAAAGGAAGAGAAAAGAAATAAACATTTATGTAGCACCTACTATGTGCCAGACAGATGCTATATAAATACCAGACTAGGTGCTAAGTGCTTCGCAAATATTAGCTTATTTGATTCTCACAATCCTGTGAGGTAGGTGCTATTTTTGTTATCATTTTATAGTTGAGGAAACTGAGGCAGACAAAGGTTAAGTGACTTGTCGGGGATCACATAACTAGAAAGTGTCTGAGGCTGGATTTAAATTCAGGTCTTCTGATACCAGGCCCAGTGATTTATCTGCTGTGCCTCCTGGCTACTTCACATGGAGAATCTTGCCCTAAGTTAGGGGAAATTCTAACCTAGGTCTTTCCAACTACAAATTCAGGATTCTTTTTCTACTCTCTGGATAAATGTTATTTTTGTAAAGAGAAACTGAAGGCTCTAGTCATCTACTACACCTTGTTAGAGAATTTAAAATCTCTGGCTATATTACCTCTGTCTGTCATCTCTGACATTAATGACTATTCTCTGGGCCAGTAGCACAAACATGCCCTCAGTTCAGTTGAATGGGGAATTGCAAAGACTGTAGGATACCTCAAGACCAATGCTAACAAGGCAAGAGCAGAGCTGGGCAGGCCAAGGAAGAGCTCATCTGAGGTGTGGCCACCAGCAGGAGGGACTGTCATCTGTTAGCTTTTTTTTTTAAGGGGAGGAGGGGCTCCAGATTAATGATTTCACTAGCTTAGGGAACTCGATTAGGAAATTCCTTCTACCAATGTAGATTGGCAACTATTTCAAAATTTACAGCCTAAGAA